GCTGTGAGGCATCAGTCAAGGGGAAGGGAGCCTCACCAGACCTCTAACACGTGCAGCCAGGCTGCGTCATCTTCCTTAGCAGCTGTGCTCGTGGAGCTAACTCAGAGCTTGCAGCTCTAAGTCTAGGGTAATCATCATATGAACAGCCATCAAGTAAACAACGTCTTCCAACCTGTACCCTATGTAACTGATTTCTAACCTGGGATTCAAACCCATCCAGACCCTTTCTGTTATTTCAGCTCCCTCCTCTTCTGCTGCTGGAAAGTAAAGGGTAAGCACAGGAAAGATAAAAAGGTAAAGCCAGTGAGGAGTTCAAATGGCCTGCTCAGGACATGGAGCCTGTACCATCAGAGCTAGACAGGAGGACTGGGAGACAGGCCACCTCAAGAGTCTCACAGAAGGATTGTCACTTCCACTTCAGATTTAGAGAAATAAAGGAAAAATTCAGAGCTTATGCAAAGGTTTTAAAACAGAATCATCAGCAGTTATTTTTTTTAAAGCTATTTTTATTTTTTAAAAGCTACTGCTTAAGTGTTTCAGTTTTAGACTTTTTTGACAATTATGAATTTTTAAAAAGTGTATGGATCACATGGAAGATTTAGAAGAAATATTTTCAAACTCAGGCAAAAAGATACACACAATTTATACTCTTATTTCCTGTCATTGCAGTACGTTTAAACCGCAGGCTCTATCTTTTTTGCGATAATTACATCCATATTCAATTAGAACCTTTAAACAGTAAAACAAGAGCATGACTCTTATTCATTTTCCTGATGGGCTTCTGGAATAAAGATGATAGATTTACATTAAGTGGTCCAAATTATTGATAGTTAAAGGTATTTTGCAATGTGTTTGTGATTTCTTTTTACTTATTTTCATAAAGTGAATATTCCATATTTTACAAAGTGCGGTATTTTTCTACTCATTGCTAGATAATAAATATAGAGCTAGATGAGTTTTTTTTTTAAGAGAATACGATGGGAAAAAGGTGAAGAGCTATTCATCTAATTCTGTCCAGTCAGTCAAAGGAACAATAAGAGGCATTAGATACTGCTGACTGACAGTAAAACAGAAAAGCAACATTATTTGGTTACGTTTATCTAAACTACCTCATCTTCCTTTTAACAATGGAAACAATATACGTGGATTCTTATAGACATACAAACAAAACTATAAAGGAGATGCCCAATTTAACAATGATTTGACACAATTTACGACTGTTAAACAGTAACAGTAAAGTCTATATAAATTTTTTTAAACCAGGAAAATAAATCTTTAACTTTCAGACAAATGTGCACTACCCAAGAGCCAATAACTTCCCCTTTATACTACCACATATCCGCTAGCTACATTACAAAGAACTCATTCAGCTAACTAGAGCTAACAAATAAAACCACAAATGGAGTGGTCTTTCCTGTCAATGAAGTCATGGACACTGCCCTGGGAAAGATGTCCTTCAGTCAACAGATGAAGGGCGTTCTTTAGAACAAACACAAGCAAGCTCCTGAAACATTGTTGACAAGGCAAGAAAACAAAATACTTACCTTTAGCAATGTGGAATTTTAAAATTAGTCATAAAATATATCCTTAGATAGAAAGAAAGCTCAAGGAAATTAAAAGTCTTCATGAAATCATTTCAATGCAGCACAGACTTATTTGTTCAAGGTGTTTTGCTGACCACAGTGGAGAATGGAAAGATAAGACACGAACTTTAACGTAAATTGCAGTCCTTTCCCTACTGTCAGTCAAGTATGCAAATAATGACAACATGAAAGGAAAAGGACAATACTGTCAAAAGGGCACAAAAAGGCACTCCGCAGACTGCAGGGGCCTTGGACTGTAAACTCACTGAGGGTGTGATGCAGGGGTCTTTCTTTTTCAACTCCGATCACTTCATATTACAATGCATAACACAGGTTTCTTTACTCAAATGAAGGGTGGACATAACTGACATGTGAGCAAGGGAGGGCTAAAACATGGATCTCTGAGTCCACTCATTGAGATCTGGAGTTACAGGTTGTAGGGGGGCATCTAGTGACTCTGAGTCAAGGGTCGTTGAACCTCACATGGACAGCACTGGGGATCTGTGGAGGTAGAGAGCAGCAGTGACATCTCAACGAGCCAGGAAAGCAAGCTCTCAGTGCATACAGACTTTCTACGTTGTTGTCCTCTCTGACAGAGATTCATGGCCTTTCCGAGTTAGACTGAGAGTCACAAGAGGCCTTCCCACACAGGAGGCAACTTGACCCATGCCACAGAGGAAGTCAGTGGAAAATCTAGGACTAAAACCTAGCTTTCCTGTCTTTACTTCCTTGTTTCTCAAAGCACGATCTGTGGACCAGTGGCAGTAGCATCACCTGGAAACTTGTTAAAACGAAACAATCTCAGGCTGTATACTAGACCTAATGAATCAGAACCTGCATTTTAATAAGATTCCCAGGTGATCCGTATGCTCATTCAAGTTTGAAAAGTACTCTAGAACATGTATCTAGGCGTGAAACTATTGGATCACAACGTATGAGTTCTTTAACAATATCCAATAGTGTCAAATTTCTCTAGCTATTGTACCAGTTTACTTTCTTACATCATCCTTTCTAATTTCCTATGTATCTACTTAGAACAATTTTAAACAAAAATCATTTTAAAAATAAAAAAAAAATTTCAATTTCAATTCTCAATTTTCCCTTTCTTAGAATCCTCAGATATTCTCATACTTAAACTCTCACTCAAGCTACTTCTCTCTGGTTTTGTGTGTAAAATAACATCAGTGGGAAAGAAAAATATATTTTGTTCACTAGAATTTCTCCCTCTCCATTCTCTTCATGTTTTCAGTAAGAAGAAATCACTATAGAATGGTTAGATCCAAAATTTCAAACTGTTTTTCTTTCCTCTAAAACAGCTGAGGAGAGCAAACTGGCGCCTGCTCTGAGACCACAGCAAAAAAACCACTGTCTTGAATCCAGTGTCCTACACAGACATCCAACTAGGGTAGACTGCCCCTAATCCTCCTTAGGTTTCCCTGAAGAAAAGTTATGGGTGATCTCTGGATGATGAAAATCACACATGCTCTCTATTTTACTCTTTGTGCTTTTCTTTAGTTTCAGGCTTTTTTAATGAGCATGTATTACTTCTGCAATTAGAAAAAACACATGTTAGTTCTAAAAGGCTTAATTTGAAAGGAAGAAAAGTCACAGAGCAATAAAATTTAAATCCATCTGCATTATTCTATCAAGATACACACAAAAGTATCAATGACTCAATTAGAGTGAACAGGTCTTTGTAAGATAACTATCTAAACATCGATTATGTAAAAATTAATTATATGATTAAAAGTTAATTCTTTAAATAAGTCATTAATCTTTAAAATTTTTACAAATGCAGCACTAAACTTTATGTAGGCTTCAACGTTGAGAGGGAGATTGGTGACCTGAAAGGACATCAACAGGCATGGGTCTGAGCCCTCTTCTGCCTCACCTGCTGCAGCCTCCTGGTCTGTAAGAGGGGGTAAGTATCTGTACCATACGTGGTAATGGCAAAGGCTGTCCAAGAAAATATAAATAAAAAGGCTCCTACACATCACATGTCATCAGGGAAACACAAATTAAAACAACCTATCAGAATGGCCAAAATACAGAACAGCTGACAACACCAAATGCTGCTGAGGATATAGAGGAAAAGGAACTATCATTCACTGCTGGTGGGGATGCAAAATGATACAGCCGCTGTGGAAAACACTTTGGCAATTTCTTATAAACTAAACATCCTCCTAGTATACAACTCAGCAGTTGTGCTCCTTACTATTTACCCAAAGGAGCTGAAAACTTATGTCCACACAAAAACCTGCACACAAACATTTATAGCAGCTTTATTCATGATTGCTAAAACTTGGAAGAAATCAAGATGTTCTTCAGTAGTTGAATGGATAAACTTTGGTACATTCAGACAATGGAATATTATTCAGTGCTGAAAAGAAATGAGCTTTCAAGCCCTGAAAAGATAGGGAGGAAACTTAAATGTGTATTATTAAGTGAAAGAAGCCAGTCTGAAAAGGTTATATACTCTATGATTCCCACTATATGACACTCTAGAAAAGGCAAAACTGTGGAGACAGTAAAAAGATCAGTGGTTGCCAGGGGTTAGGGAGGGATGAATAGGCAGAGGAGAGGATTTTTAGGGCAGTGAAAATAATACCATAATGATGGATACATGTCATTATGCATTTGTCCAAACCCACAGAATGTACAACATGAAGAGTGAACCCTCATGTAAACTATGAGATCCACTGTAACAAATGTACCACTACGGTGGGGGACGTTGATAATGGAGGAGGCTGGGCATGTGTGGGAGTAGGTGGTATATGGGAAATCTCTGTACCTTCCACTCAATTTTGCTGGGAATCTAAAACTGCTCTAAAAACTAAAGTCTACTAAAAAATAAAAACCAAAAAAAGCCCTTAGCAGAGTGCCTGCTACATACATATATATAGTAAGTGCTCAATAAATTGAAACTATTGTTATTAAAACAGTTACATTATAAATATCCTGTTTCCACAAGAAATGAAGAAATATTGTTACTACTGTAATTATATTAATTACTAAGTCAGTCTCAACATTTATCCTGATAAGATAAAAAAGCTTCTTTCTCAAACAGGTAATCTTTGAGAATCCATGACATAACCTGGACAAATGATTCTAAATCTAACAGAGTATTTTTCAAAGTTATCACATGAAATTCAGAAATGTAAAATGACTAAGATTCAATCACAGCCAGTTACTTAGTAAGTGCAAAGTTACAGGCTCTTGTGGTCATTATTTAAGAAAAAGAAAAAAATTCAACTAAGGGAAAAAGACATGCATCTCAACAGACAAATGGTAACACCAAAAATAAATACAATAATAGAATTATGTTGAAATGATATGGTTTTAGCGGAGGTAGAATGCCTACCTATAAAGCAATGATTTCTAGGAGGAATAATAAAATCTACAGCCTTTTTGGTTTACCTGGATGAGTCATGGTGACTGGCTCCTCTTTGGATTTATTATTGTAGATGACTACAGCAACTGCATTGTGGAGAGCAGCCCGTGATATTTTTTCTTTAAATGTGCAGTTTCCTCTCTGTAGCAAAGCAATCCACTGTTTGATATTAGGAGGGACAAAGAATCGTGTTTGAGGATCACAGCCCAGATGATCAGCAACTAAACAGAAAAGAAAAAATTAATTTTTTCTCAAGATAAATGAAATCAATCAAGTCTATATCAAAGTGCTCCACTATAGCTCTGAAGCACTTCAAGCAGCTCACTGCCAACAGAACTATGAATACACCCACAGAGGACAGCACAATATATCCAAATCTGTATCTGTACAGGGAGAGACACTCCATTAAACCGTTACCTATAATGCAAAACAAAGCAGTGAAAAATTCTACTTAACTTTATAGATTAACAAAAATAAAAAAGACTGATACTATCCAGTGTAGGTTAGTGAAGAGAGGAGGAAGAAAAGGCAAAGACAGAAAACCCCCACAAACCCAGGTGACTGACCTACTCGTGACTTCTGCTCATTCATCTGCACTTACTCGTCTCTCCACACCCCACCTCCGACCACCACCGCCACCAGGAGGAGATGATTGTGCATGGGGTAAATGAGGAAGCCAAACTAATCTCTGATTCAGTTACCAAGCGGTCTTGGTGAAATTCAAGCATGCTTGAACAAATTTCTTAAGTAGTGTCTAAGGAAATTAGTTCAGTTTTGGCTTATATGTGCAAGTTTAAGTAGCTAAAACAACATGAAACTAGAATAAATAGATTATTCCTCTAATTAATATTTATTGGTAAAAATTACTCTACCATGCCACGTTAGGATACATGTATAACTTACCATATTCACTAGTTTAACAAGATACATGAAGACACCAAGACTATCCTTTGGGACTACAAATTACACGGCCATTGTTCTAGATTTGGGGGGACAGTTTGTTTCGAATACTCTAAGCATATTTGAATGTGTCAGGGCAAGGTCCTCAATTTTTGATTCTGCAAATATGGTCATCATAGCTCTGGCACCCTTTGTAAATCTTAAGAAGCCACCCCCGGCTGCTCTTCCCATTCCCATCCTCACATTTACAATCAGTTGAAATGAAAAGGAAGGGCAGTCCAGAGGAGGAAAGAAGTCACAAAACGTAAGTTTGAAGACTGCCCGTACGCAGTGCCAGAGGACAGCAGGCCCAAGCCTCCTGGAGGCAGTCACTGCCAGGACTTGGAGAGGGGAACACAGCACACCAGGGTAACACCAGAAGCAAATAAATAATGAAAATACTACATAAGTATTAATCAATAACAAAGGGTATAAAGAGTTTCTATGAAGACAACACCAGCGGGAAAACGTTTGCCTTCCACACCCACTGAAGCACACTGCTTAGCAAAGAAATGAAACTGCTTATACTACTTAAGGAAACTGTAAAATGCAGAGATGCCACTAACTTCAGAGAAATGTTACATCTATCCTTCCCGTTTGACTAATACCTTCCCCCAAATTCTCTTACTATCATGGTGAGGGACTGCAATGAGAGCGTACTTCTCTCAGAGGTCTCCTAATACACAGTAAGTGGGGGAGAAATGATTTCACAATCTGTTGTGACTGATACTGTCCACAACTATGACTCATCCTCTTCCTCAGTTTCTGCATCCTGAAACTTCAGTCCTTTCTCAATCAAATTAAATAGAGAGGAAAAAGCCAATGCCGCACTTTTAGGAGTCAACTACTGAAAGACAGTCAGGCGCTGTGGAACTCCGAAATTCTGAGGCCGACTGTTCACGCATCCAGTGATATCTGTTTCACAGATAATTACGCTATTTTAAAACATATGCATTTAGGCGATGTGTTATGATAACCTCATTGTTTTGGGAAAACTTCCAATACCATATCCAAATAGGGAGCAATCAAAGAACTGGTTTGAAGTGTTTCATTTGTTATTTTTCAAAACACACTGCTACACAAACCATGAAGAAAACGCCAAATCAAGACTATTTAAAGAATCTGTACACTTGTCTTCTGTGAAACATTCATTCGTTTTTCTGGGACTTACTCCGTCCTCCCTAGGATCTCAGAGCATTCACAGTGTAAAGAGGAAATAACATAGTCATGGAACCAGCAAGACCTGGGGTCCAAATTCTAGATAAACTGCTTACTCGCTGAGCAGCTGGCATAGGTTCAATTCTCTGATCTTCAATTTTTACTAATTTACAAAGACTGAAATACAATTCTTATCTCACAAGAGTTATATATGTGAAAAAGTCTACAATAATCCCTCTACTCTTGAGTGCTTAAAAAAATTAATTCCGAAGGAGGGCTTTAAAACCCTCTTAAAGGAATCCCTGCCCACTAAGAGGCTGGGAACAACTGAGGATCAAAACAAACTGCAGCAACAGACTGTATCAGCAAAAGTATGTCCCTGTTCCCCAAATTCACCAAATCATGATCCATAACAGGTCTCTGAAAACATTTGCATGAGAATATGCAATAATAAGCAAGAATAAGATATTCAAGTTCCTGTTCAAAGCAGTTTTCATTATCAGAAAGAGAAAATAAGGGATTTTCACAATCACTTAATACTGCATATCCTTATTTTATTTATCTCTTCCTGTAATTAAAAAAATAACTTGAACAATGAAAATGATGTTAACAGCTCTAAAAAAACTCCCCAAGAAGACTGATGACTGTCTGTGATTAAGTGGCACTACTTCAACACTTAATATCAGTTGCTTATACTTGAAGCAGTTTATTAAGTACAGAGTATGACATAAAAACCTATGTAATTATGAACCATTAAAATTTGTCAATAGTGATTTTGCTCAAATTCAAAATCATTTTACTTCTGATTTTTTTTACCTGCCAAACTCAGAAGTGGGCAGTGCCTCTGACTTCTTTGCATTTATTAGTTACGGTGTCAGGAAGTTGTTAGAATGTATCATGAAAATGTGAATTTATAGATGATATAAAATATTGTATTACAATATCTTACAATTTTGTCAATTATACCTCGATAAAGCTGAAAAACTATTATATTACAGAGAAACTTAACTTCAATTTTTTTTCTGTAGGGCCCTTCCTGCTGAGTCCAGAAATAGTAACAAGACTTTTATTTACTCCTTGACAACAACCAATTATGGAATCCTCACCTCAAAGAATATTAACTTAAATGCTCAGAAACACATTAAGTACCAAAGAGACATACAATGGAACCAAACACCCTGGTTTTGAATCTTGAACCCCTAAATGTACTGAAGAGGCACGCCTGACACAGAAGTGAAATGGCCACAAGGTGGTAGGAAGCACCAACGTGAAGTGCGCTTAGAAACTTAGGAAGGAAAAGAGCAACACAGTGCTACAGCTGTAGTGGGAGTTGGTACCTAAATGGAGCCCTGGAAAACTGCTCAAGTGGAAAGGAGAGGGGTGCGGACGTGACGAGCATGAGAACACTGAACAAAGATTAAGCCTTTCTTGAACTCTTATGAAAATCAAATAAGATGACACATAAGCAAAAATACAATGCTATACGATAATCGAAAAGAAGACCTCATCTGTAATGGGAAAAAGAGGAAGAATATTCTGGCACAAAGAATATGTAAGTATTTAAAGAGTTCCCTGAGTGAATAAGTAGATAAATAAATACAATCTGTCTTCCCTACTCCAGCAGCCTGTACTCTCCACCTTGATTCACTTGACTTAAAAGACCTCATCTCTTTATTTTGAGGTCATAATGGGTTATATTATACATTGTGAAATTTCAGGTGCACATTATTATTTCTCCATATTCTGTATAGACTGCATTGTGCTCACCACTAATAGTCCATGGTTTTTACCTGTCACCATATCTATGTGCCCCTTTACCCTTTTTGTCCACCTCGCACCCCTCTTCCCCTCTGGTAACCACTAATCTGTTCACTTTGTCCATGTGTTTGTTTATCTTCCACAAACGAGTGAAAGAAATCATGCAAGCCCTCATCTCTTAAAAGTGAAAACACCCCACCTAATAAGTACCATTCACCATGTTACTGTGTGGGTAACGTTTCCTTCCAGGCCCCGGGACCCAACAATCTGCTACCGCTGTGACAGTCATTCGGGGCTGGGGCACATGATGGCAGGTGGCTGACTTTTCCAGGCGCACAGTGCAGTTGCCCAACACACCTCTCGCTCTCCGAGCCTGTATGTCTTGTTTCCTCCACCAGAAATACCAATCCCACCACTCCGCTGCTGACCACCTCCTAAGCCTCACGTTCCACTGAGATATCTTCTCCGAAACACCTTCTCACTCTCCTGAGGCTGAGCTGGCGTTTTATTCACGTTTCCATGGCATCCTGAGCTCACATCTGTTTTGCCATTTACCGTACCTCTATTGGCAAGTGGCCCTTTATTCTGAGTCTCTCCTGGCGTGTGAGACCCAGCATCTCCTCCAATATGTATGGCACATAGTGGACGCTTAACCTACTTGATGAAGGGAGAAAGGGAAGAACGACAGAGAGAGATTAAGCAAGAACCGACAGGAAATTGCGGGTGCCGAAGACCTCTCTGTTTTACATGGTAATGCTCTGCCTGGGGTAATGTTTTCTATCAGCTGTTTCCTGTAAAATAAGTAAAAATAAAAATAAGCCCAACTAGTTACCCTGGATTTAGATGTTTCCATTGTCAGCTATGTTCTGGTTATTTGCTCTCTTATTTCCATACTAGATTATAATCTTCTTACTCTTTAGATTTCCTGTTTCTACCTTGTCTTTTCTTATTCTCCCTTTGTTAAATTCTATGATACAAAGGAAAAAATACGATTCTTTATTTTTGTTCTCAATTTCTTAATTTTATTTTAATGTTCATTACTGGACTTAAATGTGTAGCTTTCAGCCTTTCATCCACTTCCATGGATATAACTTATTCTCTTCCTATTTCTATACTTTCATTTAAATCTAACATCTTATTTCTTTTTATTAGTTATCTTCATCATTTGTTTAGTCTTGTTGAAATGTTTTACTCTTCTCTCAATTTTTTGTTAACTTATTTTTAAGTTTTAATTTTCTCTTAACCCTATATCCACTTTATTTCTCAAATTTTTTTATCCCCTCTTTCCCCCTACTCCACTTCTATTACATTTTTCCTTTCTGGCAGGAATTGTTCCCATAATGGCCAGCAAAAATGACCTGGATCCCTTTTTGATTCTCAGGAACCTTATATTAATGATAATTCTCTCTTTTTCTTTTTCCTTTCATTTAAACCTGCTGGTCTCTTCCTTTTTAAAAATAAAGAAGAAAAAAAGAGATATCTCAAAAGACTCCTCTTTACTGCCACTTTTTCAAGAGCTGCCTGTATCTGCTGTTCCCATCTCCTCAGTCCCCTCATTCCTCACCACATTTTCATCTCAGCATGCAGCCACTACACAAAAAGTGCTCTGACTAAAGTACTTGAGGTCATAATGGGTTATATTATATATTGTGAAATTTCAGGTGCACATTATTATTTCAACCAACAACCTCAAGCACCAACAACCTCAGTGCTGCTAAATCCCAGAACACTCCGTCCCCTCCAAACTGATGACTCAGCAAGGTCTGGCTCAGCTGAGCACTGCCCCTCTCGGCTCCCAGGTCCTCACCCTCTGGGCTCTCCTCCTCTTCCTCCTCCACAGCCCTCCTTCCTAGTCTGTACCGACTCCTCTCCCTCTACTTGAACCTTCAATGTTGACATTCCAGAGCACTCAGACTACTGGGACACAGATCTAGGACTCTCTGGGGTTAGAATTGATGGTACACTTTTTTCTTCCTGGAATAATGAGGCTTACTAACATCTCATGTCAATCAGCCCTTTTCTGAGAAACTATCTTTTATTTTTTTACTTACATAAATCCACAGTTCCCAATACACACAACTAAATCGGGTCAATAGTATGCTAAGAATCAGGAGAGGAATATGGAAAATTGCACACACAGAAGGGATCCATTCCCTCCCATTCCAAGCAGAAACTGTTCTTGATCTTGAAGAACTAAGAGGCCTTCTTGAATGTCTACACTGGTGCACACGGATGAAGACATGGAAGGGTATCTCTGTAGGCAGGTATGTGGACACTCTGTCTAACCAGTTTGTTTCCAGGCTGCTTTGCCTCACTTCCAGGCAAAGCCATGGGATCACCTTGGGGTCTGAAGTGAACTCCATTTGTTGCCAAAAAACAAAAACAGAAACCTTAGTTAATTCAAGCATCTACAGATCACCTCTACACAGCCATATCCATTAAGTGACATTTACTTGCGCCCCACCTCCAGCGGGGAGGGAGACAGATGACGATCAAACATGAGTCACATAGAAGTGAGAACTCAAATTACATTTGAAGGAGAGGCCTCCTCTCTGTTTCCTCTGGGATGTGAACAAGGAAACATATGACTCCCGCTGTTGCTAGCAGCCACTGAGAAAGGGGGATCAATCTTAGGATGAAGTTAAAGCTAACTATGAGGGCAAAGGAAAGAGATCGAAAGGAAAAGGAACCCTGGTAGCACTGCTGAGTGCTGAATCCTTGAGCCCTGACCACAGCCCTACCTTTAAGCTTCTAGCTCTAAGACAGGGTAAATGTCCTCAGTATTTGTAGGCAATCTAAGCAGGAGTTTGTTACTTGGAGCACTTGTGCTTGTGCGAGTCAAGCAGCAGTGGTCAAGGCTGGGGTGTTATCTCTTAACCCACCAGGATCTACATCTGGCAACTCAAGCCCACCAAGGCGGTCAAACCTAAGGAGCAAGCGTCCTTGGAAAAGTTCTTTGACACAAGGAGGCAGCCAAGATGCCAAACCTTTGCCTCCTTCCTTCCGTCATTGGAGGGAAGGGGTAGCTGTTTGGGAGAAAAGAGTTTTGTTTGAAGACTGACATCCAGAGCACAGGTTCTTGATAAGGATCCATATGCAGAATCAGGGGGTCAGCGAAACTTGGATGAGGGGAAATCATCTTTATTTTCAATAAACTCTAACTGAAATCTAGCATTTTCTTCATCTATGAATGTAGACAATAAAACATCTATAACTCTATAACCAATAGCAATTAACATTAGTTATTACAGATATCACAAAATACTGCTAATTAATCAGACTCACCGCCAGAGCTTGCAACACAACGTGTCAATAAAGCACATATATTACTATGTCAAAACTATCTGAAACACTCTGAAATCAGGTTTCAGTGCACTTGGTCTCCTTTAATCCTATTTGGCATTTGTTATTCTGAGAAGCAGTCTACAGGTTTTTCTTCACTAGACTGCAAAAGGTGTCTCAATTGCCAGGTTTCGTCCATCCGTACTATTTACATGACATGTTTAGATCTGTTTCTTTACTTTACTTTGTTCTTATCTGCCCTGTTATTCCTAAGCTTCTTTATAACTTTTGCCCCTCCTTCTCTGCTTCTGAATGCACTGATCAAATTTTCTTTATTCCCCCCTTTTCCTACATTTATATATTTAAGTTCTACTTTTTTGTGGTTATCCTTAAAACGTTAACATACACACCTGATGAGAAGTTTACATTTAACCAATATCTCTATTCTCTTCCTGAATAACACAAGGCTCTTAAAATATGTCTTAGTTTCACAGAGCTACCATAACAAAGTACTACAAACTTGGAGGGTTAAATGACAGAAATTTATTTGCTCACAGTTCTGAAGGCCGAAAGTCTGAAATTCAGGTGTCTGTAGGGCCATGTGTTCTCTGAAGGCCCTAGTGGAGAATCCTGCCTTGCCTCTTCCTTCTGGTAGCTCCAGGTGACCAGTTTTGGGGCTGCATAACTCCAATCTCTGCCTCTGTCTTCACGTGGCCTTCTCTACGTCTGTCTTCTTGACTTCTGTCTCTTATAAAGACTTCTTGGATTTAGGGCCTATGTGGGTAATGTAGGATGACCTCATCTCAAGATTGTCAATTTAATTACATCTACAGAGACCTTTCTTCCAAATAAGATTTCCACACTCACAGGCTCTGGGGATCAGGACATGGACATCACTTGGGCGCCACCATCCAACCCACCAGAGTGCAGCTTCAATCACCCCTTTCCACCTTATGTTTAATTGCTCTGTATTCACTTCTACTTTAATTATCCCCTCCCTAATATTTAATGTTTCATACAGTCACAGTGCTTGTTAAACTTTACCTACAGATGCTCATCAGTCCTTATATTAGAAAGGGTTCTCCAGAGAAACAGACCAGTAAAATGTGTGCATGTATAAGGAACTGGCTCACGTGATTATGGAGGCTGACAAGTCCCAAGATCTGTAGGGTGAGTCAGCACGCTGGAGAGTTCATGGTGCAGTTTTAGTCCAGAGGCTGGCAGGCTTGAGACCTACCAAGAGCCAATGTTTCAGTTTGAGTCTGAGCAAAGGAAAAAGCCAGTGTCCCAGTTCAAAGGCAGGCAAGAGGAATTCTCTCTTATTTGGAGAAGAATCAGGCTTTTTATTTTATTCAGGCCTTCAACTGATTGGTTATTATTATTATTATTTTTTATTATTATCATTATTTTCCTCTCAGCACTTTGAAGATATTATTCCATTGTCTTCTGCTTCTTATGTTGAGAAGAGGCTGAACAAAACATTTTTAATTGTGTAGGCTCTGAAATGTTACTTTACCTACTTTTTACTTTTGAATCTAGTATTTAAAAAAAATAAAACGTTTCCTATTTTTCTAATTGGTAATTTTTACTTCTTCGAGTATATTCTAAAGCAACAAATTTTATAATAAATTATTACTCTTATGCACAGAATTTTTAAGAAGAAGGCAACAATAAAAATATCTTCTGTATACCTAAAATGCTGGATATATCAATCAACATTGCAAGAAAGGTCATACATAGCTGAACTGTCAGCAAGTTTAATTGTCAATAGCTATCCATTATCGTTTGTCTTCTACACTTAGTTATTGGATATGTCAAATGGATTTTGATTATTTTTCACATCCTTAGAACTAAAATATATCTCTTGGATGTTCTCCATAACATAATAAAAAGCATTTTAAATGATGGCTGATACAAATCACTTTACCTGAAAAGTCATCTTCAAAGATAATTTTTATTACAACCGATGCAACAAATACTTCATGCAAGAGAGATGGTACAAATCAAAAGAACTAAAAATCACAGCTAGGTCCTCATACAAAAACGTATCATAGTACAACATAAGTAAGTGTTAATTATTTAATCCTCATTACTCTCCATTTCACAAAAGTATTACAGTATTGAGTACAACTCTTTCTGAGGGCCTCTTTTCTACTGGCTAGTATCCACCACGTCTTCTTCCCACCTCTGACTATTCTTTCTTATTTTCCCATCGTTAGCCTCTTAGCTGGAGGTGTTCACCAAGGTTCTGCCCTAGACCCTCTTTTCTCAGTGTACAACCTCACCAATTCCCATGGCTTCAACTATGTACCTATATGTAGATAATGTCTCAATCTAAATCTCTCTCTTAAGCTTTAGTCTTTAATTTTTAGTCTTGCTATGTATTTCTCCATGAATACTGAGTATTTCAAACTCATTATCTTCCCCCCTCAAATGTGATCTTCCCATCTGGAAGTCCTGACGGACAGCATCACCATCTATCTAAACACACAAGACTGAAATCCCTGTTGAAAAATAAGGAAGTGGCTGTAAAGAGACTCAGCTGAGTCAACAGTGTTCAGTTTTCTTGCTGCCACCAAGAGCCCACCAAGACAGAGCACAGCTGCTGACTGCAACTCAACACTGCTGATGCACAGAAGGATGTATGAACACAAATGGCCCAGAGGAGTAGCTGAAGGCACTGTTTTCCCCCCGGCTTTACTGATGTATAATTGACAAATAAAAACTATATACATTTAAGATGTACAACATGATGAGCTGATATACCTATACAGCGTGAAAGATTACCACAATCAAGTGAATTAACATATGCATCACCTCATACAGTTACTTTTCTTATTTTTGCAGTGAGAACACTTAAGATCTACTCTCTTAGCAAATTTTAAGTAGAAAATACAGTATTATTAACTATAGTCACCACGCTGTACATAAGATCCCCAGAACATATTCATCTTATAACTGAAAGTATGCAACATCAGAAGGCATTACTAATTCTTAGGCAGAAAAGTAAAGAATGTGGGAGCACTTCTATTTTGTCTTATTTATAACTTCTTTCTTCTGGTACTAGTACTTCTAGTACTAATGACTCTGAAACAATGACAGTGTTGACAAAGACTGGGCTATCTGGAACATAATTTCAAATATCAGAATGATGGATTTAACAATACATTAAAAGGATTATAATCATGATCAAGTGGGATTTATCTCAGGGATGCAAGGATGGTTCAACCACCATAAATCAATGTGATACATCACATTAACAAAATGAAGGATAAAAATCATACGATCATCTCGATAGATGCAGAAAAAGCATCTGACAACATTCAACATCCATTTATGATAAAAACCCAACAAAGCAGGTATAGAGAAAAAATACCTCAACATAATAAAGCCCATATATGACAAATCCACAGCTGACACCATACTCAACAGTGAAAAGTTGACAGCTTCTCCTCTAAGATCAGGAACAAGACAAGGCTGCTCACTCTCACTACTTCTATTAATCACAGTAGTGGAAGGCCCAGCCAGAGCAATTAGGTAAGAAAAAGAACTAAAAGTCATCCAAATCTAAAAGGAACACGTAAAAATATGTCTATTTGTAGAAATCCTACAGACTCCACCAAAAAGGTATTAGAACTAATAAATTCAGTAAAACTGCAGGACATAAAATCAATATACAAAAATCTGCTGCATTTCTATAAACTAATAACAAACTATCAGAGAAATTAAGAAAACAATCTCATTTACAACAAAAAAGAATACAATACCTAGGAATAAATTTAAACAAGGATGTGAAAGATCTGTATATTGAAAACTCTAAGAAGTCCATGAAAGAAACTGAAGACGACACAAATAAAAGGGAAGATATTCTGTGCTCATGGATTGGAAGAATTAATATTGTTACAATGTCCATACTACCCAAAGCAATCTACAAATTCATTATGATTCCTATAAAAATTCCAATGGTATTTTTCACAGAAATAGAACCACCCTAAAATTTGCATGGAACCACAAAAGACTCTGAATAGCCAAAGCAATCTTGAGAAAGAAGAACAAAGTTGGAGGTACCATGCTTCCTGATTTCAAACCATATTACAAAGCTAAAGTAATCAAACAGCATGGTATTGGCATAAAAACAGACACACAGATCAATGGAACAGAAGAGAGAACCCAGAAATAAACCCACACATATATGCTCAATTAATTTATGACAAAGGAGCAAAGAAGATACATGGGAAAAGGACAGTCTCTTCAGTAAATGGTGCTGGGAAAACTGAATGACTACAAGCAAAAGAATGAAACTGGACCACTATCTTAGACCATACACAAAAATCAACTCAAAATGGATTAAAGACTTAACATACGACCTAAAACCATAAAACTCCTAGAAGAAAACATAGGCAGTAAGCTCATTTACATCGGTCTTGGGGATGATATTTTGGATTTGACACCAAAAGCAAAAGCAACGAGAGCAAAAATAAACAAGCGGGACTGTATCAAACTAAAGAGCTTCTGCACAGCAAAGGAAACCATCAACAAAATGAAACAGCAACCTACGGAATGTGAGAAGATATTTGCAATTCATATATCTGATAAGGGGTTAATATGCACAATGCATAAAGAATTCACACAACTCAATAGCAAAAACATTTCTTCATCTTAGGGTCCTTGTTTATGCAAATTCCTATTCACACACTTCCCCACCATTCCTTACATTTCACAGGTGCTAGCTAAGTGTGTGATACTGTTGTTATCCCTTGAATGAATGATGGGTGAGTTAAAAGAAATGAGTCACTCTCACAGGGAAAAAAAAAATGATGAGCTAGGAACAGTATAGCTCACTGTTTGGGGGGAGTATTTGTCCAGAGGTTGGCTGACCAGTGACCAAAGGACTTTAAGCTAAACTGCTGAGGAAGAAAGTAGGAGAACATGGAAAAAAAAAAAAATCATGAAATCAGTCCCTA